CTCGGAAAGCCGCTATCCAGAGGAGCGGCAGCGCGTGCCCCGTTACCGAAGAAAGGGATCCTGGTGCAGGCGCTGGGGTCCTGGTGCAGGCTGGGCAGCCTGTTGCATTCAGGAAGAGTGAGCAGCATCAGCCCTGGCTTGTAAATCCCCTTCTGCGAGTTTTCCTCCATTGAGAGCCATTCCTTAAAGCAGTAGAGATCCTTTACAGCAAGGCAATTCTCTCTACATTATTTTGCAAAAAACAGTGAAATACAGCGGTCAATGCCTTGATAACAATTACTGCATTCAGCAGTGGTGTGCGGGGGTTATGCAGACTGACAGAAATCCGCAAACGGGGCTATGCTTGTTTAAGCCAGCTGAGACTCTGTCTGGCTCATAAACTGCAAAGGAAACTCTGCATAAAATGTAACAGCTTCCTTTAGGAAACCCTCAAGGCTACGTTTTTAATGAAGCTGGGTTATGCTCAAAACACCACACACATCATAGTCTGTGAGGAATTCATTCCCATCTTTTCCTACGCATTTGTCGGCACCTTCTAGTAATACAACATGTCTGGGTATCACCTTAGCGGTTTTTTGCCCATTCTAAAAATCTCCCATCTTCCATAAACTGTACATAAAAGTACTGTGCATTAAAGACAGGAGGTGAGCTGCAATGCTTAATCTTTTTTAGCTAAATATTAGCCTATATTTTTAATCTCACACAAGCACCCACCCAACTTTCTTCTTTTCTCCATAGACGTGTTTCACACGTGACCTATCTGTAGCAAAACTTTTACAGTGCCTGCTAAAATCAGAGACCAAACTATCGCCTACCTAATGTGAAACTTCCATAAACATGTGAAATGTTCACTGAAAAGAGGTTCTCTGCATGTTTGTTTCTTAATAAGAATCTGTTTTGTGAGGAGGACAAAGGCAAAAATACCTACTCTACAAAAAGAAACTGAAACTGTTATAATAGTGGAAAGTTTCAATGTTTGTTATTTATTTATCAGCTATTTACATATTTATTTGTTTGTTTGCAAGAGCCTGGGTTGTAAAACCACCGTTGAGGAGGCATGTAGGGACAACTTTTGCTGAACTCAGCTGAAGTCCTTAGTAGATGCCCATCCTTCCCAACCACCATGCCTATTGGCCGAATCGGGAGTGGATGTTCCGATGCAGGAAGAGACTATCAGAATTGACAAAGAAGGTTTTGACCAAAAACCCCACCTGGTGGGCTGATGCAATCTCTCTGCTGCTCTGCCAAGAGTTTTGGCAACAGCAGATGACAGTGAGCATTACCAATAGCTGCCAACCCTGCAGACCTTTACAGCACCGTCACCCCTGAAGGACTGAGGCCATTAGGGCTTGCAGCACGGCAGGGGGACACAAGCTCTTTAGCAACTGTGATGAATGCCCTTTGTGTCCGCAGATCCAAGCAGCTGAAGGCCCAACTACCCTGTGCCGGTTTTGGCCAGTGCTGCTTTCTTCCTTCGTTACTTCCATGAGAGCCAATATGCAGCCAGAGGAGGTTTTTTTTTTTTTTTTAAACAAAATGTGGAATAAGAACGACCTTCTGAAGTAAGGAGATGCTTATCCAGGGAAATGGGAAAACCTTACATTTGAAGTGCTGGCTGACACTTAAGAGATTTGGATGGAGTTGGCTGCCTTCACTCTAAAAGCCTGAGCATCCTTAAACAAATCATTTATTCAGTATGCAACTGCAAAATGCAAATGACCATTCCTCTATAATCCTGTCCATTACAGAGTAAAGGGAGTTTGTGTTCATCCATGAGCCTTCACTGTTGTTAAGGCACTCCAGGAACGTCATGACAGAGTCATACAGAGGGACAGTCAGTCTCCTCGACATGAGATCATACCATTGTTATAACACTTAATCCTGAGCAGTGAGAGCTTGATGAGATCATATGCAAAGGTTACTTCAGATTATTATTAGAAATTGCATGCCATGTAAATGATAGACTGACGAAGATCAGTAGTAAAAAAAGAGGACAGGTGGTCCAGAAGCATTTTACTGATAAAAAGAACTGTTTAAGAGGAGGTGGACACCCACACACACGGACAAAGTGAGCAGTTTTCCAACATGAGACTGTTCCCTGGAGCCCAATCACTTTATATCAGCAGTGGCTGAAAAAGAAATCAGTGGTTTTTCTTTTGCTGTCAGAGCGGCAGTCAGCAGTAAAAGACAATTGACAATTATGAGATGAGACACCATGTTCCCTTAAAATCAGGAAAACTCTAATTTTAATCAATTTGCATCTCAATTTACACGAAGTGAGATTTTTCCCATGATGTTCTTTCTGTTTCACTTCATCTTGTTTTACCAACTGATTATTTTTATAAAAGCTTTTCCCAGTCTGTTGATCGGTTACTGTTCAACGTAACTAATTTCCAAACCAAAATGAACATACAAAATGACATAGAGGGAGAGAAAAAACTGGTACAGAGAATACTTGATAATAGGACAAACACTCCAAAGCAAATAGGAACACGTCAAGGGAAAAACGTCCCTCAGAAAGTGGGAGAATTTTAGAGCACCTGAGAGAATTAAATTCTTACTCAAAGAAGCAGTTCAATGAGATCTGAAAACCAGTGTAGTCTAGCCAGTTTCTACAGAAAGGTATAAAGTTGTCAGTAAAATGAAAATAAGATAACTGGAAAATAACCAAGACTGTGTGAAATTCATTTAGGAGCCCCCCAAGGCAGTTAGAACTACATATTAGATGTCTGAGTTAGCAAAAGAAGTACTGGGGTTTGGAGAAATTGTTGTCCGGTTGAGGTGCTGTGGGAACAGGAAATAGGAAGAACACTGTTCCAGGGCTCTGGTCATGAAGCAAGTTACATTTAAATCCACATTGAAACCATTGGGAAACATCATTAGGAAAAAAAATGCACATATCCACAGACTGACTCATGGATTTGAAGAAAGAGGATATCAGATAAGTCCATTAAGATTTAGACATATTTCCAAAAATTAGGCCTATTAGGTAAAGATCCTCAGCAAGTGCAGAGGGGATGCTGATTTATATTACTCTGACTTCAGTCCCCAACCTTATGAGCCCCACTAGTGCAGATCCTCTGTCGAATCACCAGGAGTTTCGTTCCTGCAGGAGTTTTGTCCGGGAGCAAGGGGAAGCGAAGTGAGTCCGTTATCCAGACTTTACTGAAACGTTTCATAGAGCACTGTGCAAAATCCTTAGCTGACAAATGCACTGTGCGTGTGTGGCTCAGATATAAATACTGTCACACATCATGAAAATAGGCAGAGAGATCATATACTAAAGGGCATAATGACAAAGAGCAGGAGATCAAGGCAGCAGAGGGGTGTCTGCCAACAACAAACCAGTCTCAGGACTGGTCTGCCGAGTAATCTGTGCATATTTACACATACGTTTCTTAGGACATGTTCCATTACTATGCAGACTGCGGAATATAGCACAGCACAGGTGCCAAACGGAGAACACAATACACTGTCATGCTTCTTGCTGGGATCTTCTTGTGTGCCTTTGTTTTAGGATAGTAAAGGAGGAGCAATCAGGGAGGCCAGGATTACAAGATGATGTCCTGTCGATTGTCCTAAATAGCTTCTCCATAACTGGAAAAATAATTGCCAGTAGACTACAGCTGGCCCAAGTCCAGCTGGCAGAGCAGTGTCTCTGCTCTTGCCTTGTCAGCAGACAAGACTTTTATTTTAGTTGAGACATCAACATTGGGTCTGCTCTCCTGATAAACACTGATTTGAATAATCTGTTTTAAGATGCAGTTCAAGGAGGACAAGAGCTAAGTACTATACTTAGGCAGGAATGTCAGCTCCCCAAACATAAGATGGGGAACGACCAGACAACAGTCCTTCAAATGTTAAAAATGAACATGAATCAGTCGTGTCAGACTGCCGTGTTAGAAAAAAAGAAAGCTTCTCCCTGGGATGTCTATGCAGGACTGTCCTCTGCAAGACACGCCAAGCACTCATCATTCCTTTCTGGTTAGCACTAGCGGATCCTCAGCTGGAGTCAGGGCACAATTTGGCTATAGCACTTAAGGAAAGATGCACAGCAGGGGCTCCAGTGGCCTAAAAAAATAAGACCTAGGAGGAGAGCTTGGAAAAAATCTGCATTTATTCTAGCTTGAGAAAATGAGGAAGACTTGATAAAAGAGGAAAGAAAGAAACTCTCCTCCATGCCTGGGGCAGGAGGACAAGAAGCCATGAAGGAAGGGCTGCTCAGTAGGTCGCATGGGGAGGGAGGGGTGAACTTGGACTCGTTACACAAACACCTGAAAGCAATGGATTAGCTGTAGCAGAAGATGTTTTGGGCTCCTCAGAGTCTCTGCAGGCCCTGTTTTACTGGACATTTCTCTGAATATGGGAGGGCACATATGCCACACAGGATGTTTGGCTTAGCAGGTACCATTACCCTGCCAGTGTCTCTAGTTCGGTCTTTTTGTTGTTGTGGTGGTGTGATCCTGGTGGGAAATAGTGAACAATTAGCGTATTGCCTTGACCAGACTTCGTTGCTTGCACTCCGTCCGTATTTATCCAAAATTTGTTGATAGTAATAATGACTATATACTGATAGCCTTTGTTAATAATTTAAATCAACTGTGTTATTCAAAGGGATATTTCTTTTCAACACTTGCTGTTGAAAGCCACAGAGATCTGGGCCTGAAAGTCACTCTAAATCCTACCACAGACCTCAGACAGAGCGAGATCAGGCCTTCTTTGTGCTTATGAAGGAGAACGCAAAGACTGATGCAAAGGGAAAACCTATGCAAACATAAAGGGGCCATTTGCACTCAGTAGTCCTGTGTGTTTGAACAAACTCTCCCTCACCACTCCCCTGCTGCCTACACAACCCCATGAAATGAAAATGAAAGAAAAGCTTTTTTTTTTTTTTTCTTTACCTGCACACTGGTTTTGGAGCCGGCCCAGCTCCCGAGGGATTGCACTCCTGGAAGATGTAGTTACACAGCAGAGACTCAGCAGCTGGTTGGCAGAATGAACTCACCATTTTCAGTTCAGTCCAGGCAGTGTGAACAAGCAGCTCTTGGGTCTCCTCTGGGTCAGCATAGGAGGAGTTGAAGAAAACAAGAGCATTCTTCGGCAAGATAGCACTACACACCTCACCTCTGTATGTGCTGCAGTAGCCTGCATCACCCTTGTACAGTTTGCTGTCGAGGGCAAGAACATACACGCACAGTAGGCTTACAGTCATAAATACCTGCAGGAGAAGACAGCTAAATGCCTATGTATTGTTTCTGAATAAAATGGCACTCATAAGGCTAACATATGTTAGAGAAGAGGGTGCACATATTAGATATATCAGAGAACATATATTAGAGAAGAGGGCGCATGATTATAACCACTAAAACGAGGTGATACCATCCAAAAATGGCACATTGCAAAGAACTCAAGTGTGAGCCCAGGGCCCTCCAGGAGACCTCTGGGTGTTGAGGCTCTGGCCTAATTTTCCAGCATTAGAAGTGGGCAAAAAGGCTGAGTGACAATGCACAGCCCTGACCCAGCATGCAACCTCAGGCACTCTCCAGGCCCTGATGGGAAATCGTTTTGGTTTTTGGCTCCTCTGCAGAAGAGATCAGAAATGTTGCTGCACACCTGTGGGAATTCATTTAGCATCCTGACAAGCAATAGCTTAATTTTGGAGGGGCTCAGTGAGCAGGTGCCAGGTGAATTCCACTCAGCACACTCCAGAAAATCCTTTGCAAGATAAGATCAGCAAAACTCCTACCTGGCCCTCTCCAGTTCCTGCACCCCTCATGGCTCTCTACCTCTCCCACACACCCTTCTCACTGTCTCAAAGTAAATCTTTCACTCTTGCCTGTGGCTGCCAGAAAAGGCAGGACTCTTCAGTGGGAGACGTGGGAAGGCAGAAGACACAAGGCAGTGGAATTTTCCGTCCTGCGCTTACCCCTGCAAGGTCTTTCTCTCTCCTCTCTACCACATCTCCCAGTGTGTAACCCCCTGTCTTCAAGCATGGGGCCAGAAGCTATACTGGAGCAATAAAAAGCACAGCAGGGTCTGCTCCTTCTAGGCCATTTATTTATTTTTCCCATGTCTTTGCATGTAGCGGGAGACGGCTATCATCCCTCCCTCCTTCCCCAAAGCCATCAAAAGGGAGCAGAAGGGCGAGTGCATGCACCGGTCAGCTGTGCTCACAGCAGCTTGCACGGCTGCCTGATAGAGAGCTGGGCAGCAGCAAGGTCTGTGGACAGAGGATGTGCCCTCAGCTCCAGCAGCCACGGGAAGTAATGCTGTAGGGGCAGCACAAGAGAGCACCTGGGAAAGCTGCCTCTCCTATGCGCGAGAAATGACCGAAACACAGAGGGAGGAGAGCTGGGTGCAGCTGTCCCCATTGCTCATTCAGTCAGCTTAACAGGGGTCACGGAGTTCAATTCACAACACGCCAACCATTTGGAATAGCCAACAGAGCTATTTGTATCTTTGCCTTTTATTTCTTTCTTCTGTGCAAATAATCACCCATTGTCAATGTCCTGCGGGTTCTTGTTGTTTTTCTTAAGAAAACTGGAGCAGCACTGAAAAGGGATTATATAGGATGCCTAAACAAGCTTTTCTCCAGTCTAAATTCCTGCTTTTATGACGCTGCTCTCAGCAAACAGATTACACTTTCTGGCCCCGGTTTAGCTGCACTGTTTTGGGGTCAATATCAACCTTTTTGTGCTCTTTGTGGTGGCTTTTTCAGGTTGGCTAAAAAATGCAAGAAGGAACTGATTCCTCGCGGTAGTAATGCAACAGCAGTGCTGCTGTGACACTCCCCAGAGACCCCGGGGAAACCCTTTACAGGACACCGGCATCTCCCCTGCAACCTGCATCAGTCTGACAGCCCATGACTTCTCGCCTGCCACAGGGCAGATTTCCCAATTAGCAGTGCATCGTGCTAGAGAAGACCTTGGTGCAGTAGAGGTCACATTGTTCACGGTTTCTTGATAATATCGGTTTTGGTGAATATGAAAGGTGTGTCCTTCATATGGGCCCTACAGACAAGAGAGGGCACAGACATCCATGGCACAGCTGTGCTACGGACTTTAATGGGCCACAGAAGCAGCTTGACAAGAGCCACCAGTGTTAATATCATGTTTCTCTGTTTTTTTTTAAATCTACAGGGAGATACGGACAAGGCCATGATGGAGAAGCACGGATAACATTTTTATTGCAGTGTCTGATCACAGAAAGAGAATTTTAGACAGCAAATGCTGAGAGCAACTGCTGAGGAAACAGGCTGAGCCTTTTACAGTTACACGGGTGCACATGTAAAGCATAAGTATGTGTCTGCCATCACCATTCGACAGTCAAAAAATCACTTACAAAATTCCTGAATTAATCTGACAAACCCCTGTGAAGGAGCTGAGGGCCTTCACAGGGCGCCTGAGTCAGCAAAGCAGCAAAGCCATTTGCTCAGATTTTCTCAGGCTCTCTTCTTTGCTCTGAGGACGGATAGATCATATCCTTCCTCCCAGGCTAGCCCTCTCATTTTGCTTCCAAATTGATCTGCCAGTGAGACATGTAGAAATATGTCAAGACCCTTAAAAAAAGAACTAACTAAATTCTTCAGTACTCCAGGAAGGCAAAAGTGCATGCCTGACCGCATATAAGTGGCTTTATCTATTCGTAAATTTGCTTGTAACAAATATCTGAACTTCACTTGCCCTAGCCTTGTGATCACTGCACCAAAATATGTTCATTGACTGTGTACAAAGAACTTATCCTGCAGCTAACCTTTTGCCTGTAAATGTATAAGGTCAGAGAAACTGCAGATGTGTAGCTGTGAACAGAATTTACCCCAGAGTATTCTGCCCACTACTGTATTTTAAATGCTCCTACTGATGTTGATGCACTGTTGGTTTGATACAGATGCATGCTTATCTGACTGGGCCCACTTTCTACTCATGCCCATATAAAGGAGCTCAGTGTCTCCTGCGGGTGAACCTCACCTGCATTCTTGGCATCCAGAAATATTCTCCCTTCATTGAAGCAAAATTAACAAAATCCCCTTAGTTTTTTATTCTCCTCCTGCATCTTCCCCGGCCCAAAGCAAGTTCCCAAGCAGTCATATAAAAATCACACTTACCTCCACTCTGCCAGGTAGGCACCAGATCCAGCAGTTTTAATGAGCCAGGAGAAAGAAGAAATGGAAAAGTTATCAAAGACATTTCACTGCCCCCTCCGAGAAGAGGACACCATTAAAATTCCTGTGCTAGGCAATCTGCCTGAAACTTTTAAGCTATCTGAAAAGGAGTTTATATCCGCTAGAGAGGAAGAAGAGTTGGACTATGCTGGGTGCCTTATAGGGAGAGGAAATAAATGGGCTGGAGCACCCTAACTGCATATCTTTACCCTTATCCTTTGGGTTCAACATAGCTGGCACATAGTGTCTTCAGTTTAAGCCACCCATGTGCCCATTTCCATAATGGGCAGGGGAAACTATAGCTGGTGGAGCAGCCTGGCCTTCCAGCTCACCACATCTCGGGAAGCAGAGCTGTGCTGTTGTGGGCAGCAGACATCAAGCATCTGTCCAAGGACCAGCCCAGGTTACTTCTACCTGCCCCCCAGGAGTTATCATCCTTGCAGAGCAGACTGGAGCTGAGGTGTCCCAGCTGCATGACAGGGCTGACCAGCACCGTCTTTCTCGGCTCCCCAGTGACTCCTTGCTCCACTGCCCAAAACCCCCTGCCTTCCCCAGGAGGGGAGGGACAAACTGCCACCTTTCTGTCTGTGCGGCAAACACCGTCAGCCAGCTCAGGCTGTCAGTATATCTCCTTTTTGGAGCCTCCTTTCCTCATCTGGGTGATGTCCCCGCACAAGCACAGTTCAGGGTGCCGAGAGGTTACCCAAGGGGCAGCAGCTGTGCAGGCCATCCATTGCTTGGCGAATGGGAGAGCCTCTTCTGACAGAAACCTCCTTGCTTTTTGGATGCAACCCACTGAGAAACTAAAGATCTCGTGAAAGCTATTTTCACCTTGCTGTTAGGTGATACTAATGCTGGGCTGTGGCCACTACTTCCTCTGCATGGATGAACTTACCAAGGGCTTCTGGGACACAAAGTTCAAGACAGCATCAAGCATTCAGGAAATGACAGCTGTGCCAGCCTCTGAAGTGTAAGCATATATGAGGAAATAGCCTACCGGGGGATGGACTGATACTCAAATTTAGCCCTGTGCAAACTATTAGCTCTCCAAGGCTTTCCCTCTGCCTCCGCAGCACTTCACACCCCTTTCCTCTCCCCCAGGAGGAAGACTGCAATTGCTAGGGTACGTAAAAATGTAAAAGCCCCTTCTTTTCCAGCATACCTGAAACACTGATGGTCGCTGCAGCTTTCGCGGCACCAAAGGTTTTGCTGTGTTTGTTAGTGGCTAAAAAAAAAAAAAAGCCAAGGGGGGGGACGTATACCTGTAGTCTGGAGTCAACCACTCTGTCCTTGACACTTTCCACTATGGACCCTGCAGAAACCTAAGACAGTGGAAAGCCTAGTGCAATGGAGTTTCCAATTAAACAAACAAACAAACAACAACAGCAATAACAGCAACAAGACACCCACCTCCAAGCATTTAAATTGTTGGAGAAGTTGTAGCAAGCAGGTGAAAGTAACAGAGAGCTCAAGGCTGCTAACATTATTTTGGTACTTTCAGAGCTGACTTCATGAACAAAAGTAAATGTTAAAAACTTCTTATATTTCACACTTCAGCAATACTTTTACAATAATTTGCAGTTCCAGAGGGCTGTAGTGTCAATTTTACTGATGTAATTGAGCTGGATAATTGCTGTATGACCTCTGCTTATTAGATTATTTGTCTATTTATGTCTTAGGAAGTAAGAACACTGTATGGCTTTGTGGTCCCAACTCTCCATGTAAAAAGGGAGAAAGGAAGATAGCTTGGAACTCATTGATTCTGGATTGATATAATCACTGTTGCTTTTTGATGGTCATGGTGAACAAAACAGATATTCTGGCTCCCATACTTAGAAATACCTGAGAGACTTTCTTATCTCACACCTGGAGATGTGGAAGGGGCTGCAGATGTGGTGATTCTGGCCTGCTCATTTCCCAGATCAGAAACTCCTAAGTAAGTGAGCTTGGAGCTTGTTGATTTTTGCTAATGTGACGTGATTTTATCCTGAAGTCTTTCCTGCTCATATGGCATTCATATGTTTTTTTAAAAAAAAACACAGATGCTAATGTATTTATTCTACCTCACTCAGGCTCAACTTGGAGTTGTGCTGAAGGGACATGCACATATCACCAAATAACTAGACCAACACACTTATAATAAGTTATGTTTCAGGGATGGGCAGTATGCTGGTCATCATGCAAAGGCAGGAACGAGAGATATTTTTGGTCTTAGTGTGCATGAAGTCAGTTCAGATGAATGGCAACTCAAGAGATATTTTTTCATAAATTTACCTTGTTAAAGCATTGATCAGATTTACTTTTATAACTTTTTCTCCCCAGAAATTTAGTCAGCGTTAAAATATTGCTCCCTAATAATCCTCCCTGGTGGAAAGGAGAAATTTCTTTATAGGCTACCCTGTCTCCTGACAGTCATCCAGGAGAGATGGCTGTTAACACTGAGCTGATTGTGCTGTTTTAGTCATCTTCTCTTCCCTCCTGGCAGTTCAGGCTTCAGCCATATACCATTCCAATAGCTCCCCTCCAGGTGTGAAGCTCTTTGACTTTCGCTGGCCAGAGTCCAGCGATCAAATGTGATCTGAAGTGTTTCTCCTCCCCTGCATCCTATATTCTTCTTTCTATTAATTCAGTTACAACCCCAGAAATAATATTTTAAAGCTGAGGCTCCGGGGTGGGACTCTCTGTGGGGTTTCATACAGATGGATGGCCCTCGAATAGGAAATCTGAGCATGGTGAGCCAGGATTGCTCCTCTTAGCTTGGACCACACAATGAAAAATGCTTTGCATGCCATGTTAGCTAACAGAGCTCATGGGGACAAGGAAATATACTACAACTGACAATAATGCAAGGGCCAGTTTCAACCCAAGGTCTCCCTGGGGGAAAACAATCCCTGGCTGACTTGGCTCAGACAGTTGCAAACAGTAAGAGCAGTATGTGTTACCATGTACAGTATGGAAAATCATCATGAATCGCATAAGAAAGCCTTATGTAGCTCGTGAAGGTGGCAGGTAGTTGAGTCTTTGAACTTCCAAGTTGGCAGTTGCTTTCTTCTGCTGGGAACCTGAGAACTTTTCATTGTATTAATTGATCCCTTTTGCTTTTCAAATATGTTCCCTGAGATTTTGTTTCTAGCAGGTCTTTTTTTAACCTTAGAAATTCCATCCTAGCATCTACCACAGAAAAGACTTCTTATCTTCACACCTAGCTTACTTATCCTTTGTGGTGCAGAAAACTACAGTTTAAGGCCCACGGTGGCCTGCAGTGCATACTAGGAGGAAAAAGCACTGCATTTTTGTTTGGGTAGACGAGACAGCTGCTATTTCATTTTTTTGTTCAAAGGCAGTTTAATAACCACAGCAGTTTCCCACTCTTTATAAAGCTCAGGTCAGCATTCAGAGACTATAACACCAGAGAGACATTGCAAGGAGAACATCCTCAAATGACTCCCTGTTCCTGGCTTGCGAGTCAGTCTTCAAATGCATGTGCTCCATTCCACCTGCTTCCTGCTTTAACTTTCCTGAAGACAGACTCTCATTAAACAAAAACATTTACTGTGTCCAGTGCTGGGCTCCCCAGTACAAGAGAGACATGGAGCTCCTGGAGTGTGTCCAGTGAAGGGCTACTAAGATGATGAAGGGACTGGAGCATCTCTTCTATGAGGAAAGGCTGAAAGAGCTGGGACTCTTCAGCCTGGAGAAGAGAAGGCTGAGGGGGATCTCATCAGTGTGGATAAGTATCTGAAGGGAGGGTGTCAAGAGGATGGGGCCAGACTCTTCTCCGTGCTGCCCAGCGATAGGACGAGAAGCAACAGGCACAAGGTGAAACACAGGCAGTTCCATCCGAATCTGAGGAAAAACTTCTTGACTGTGAGGGCAACTGAGCACTGGAGCAGGTTTGCCCAGACAGGTTGTGGAGTCTCCATGCTTGGAGATCTTCAAAAGCCACCTGGAGATGGTCCTGGGCAATGTGCTTTAGGTGACCCTGCTGGAGCAGGGGACTTGGACTAGATGATCTCTGGAGGTCCCTTCCAACCTCAACCATTCTGTGATTCTGTGAGTCTGTAAGGGTCTCCTTACCATATTTAAAATGATGTGGTCTGGAACACAACCCTCTTGGGAGTGATTTTTGTCTTGCAGACAGAAATGCCACAGAGCAGATCTAACCAGTTAAGCAACTGCCCTAGGTGAGGGCCAAACATAGTGGTGAAATACAGCTTTCTACAGGGCTGCTGCACCGGTCAGAGTGACGTGGAGCATCCGTCCTCCTCATCCACTAGGTGAAAGAAAGCTATAAAAAAGAAGAAAGGTGGAGAATAGGCTCTAACTATCCTGAACTGTGGGTCTCTCATACTTTGAGGCCCCATCAGAGACCGGGTGGAAATCCTGCTTTTCAGCATGCTTCTGAAAAGAGAGCAGTGAACTCTGTGGTTTTATTGTTTTCTCAGCTGCTCTACAGCACATGGACAGAAGCATGATCTTTGGCTTAGGAGCTGGTAGAAGCGGCTAAAAAAGATCTCAAGGACGTGCATTGTCCAGAGGAATATGGCAGGGACTGATCCAGAAATCTGGAGGATAAACCATAAGAAGAGACCTGCCCGTGAGTCCCCGCAAACAGATGTCCCCCCAAAATACCCTGCCCCAGTGGTAGTGCCCTTACGGAGGCTGTCAGCCTCTCTAAAAAACACTGTTACAGCTGGCCCTGTGGTACCCTCTTCTTTTCATGCCACCAAGTAACAGCCTTTGCTATTATTTTACTAGTGTAAGCACCTTTGCGGGACATTCAGTTGTCTGATATTGGCAATTCACTTAAGGTTCCTAAAAAAGATTGTCTTGCATGCTGCTTGGTGGTGGGCATGCCATGCAATCTAAATAAATTGTACTGGCAAACACCCAGAACCTCCTACGATAAGATTTCTTCTCCAGTGGGAAACCATCCTGCACGGCCTGAATGAACACCTGCAGTTCTCTCAAAATAATTAATCACTGAAACCTACGGAGGACCCATGGGGCTCTGCAGAGACTGATCTGCTTGCCCTTTACTCTTTTCCCTAGTGACCTCAGGGGAAAATAGAAAATTACCCCTAAAAACACTGAAGGATACGATAAGGTTTAGCGGAGATAAGGAAGGTGAGACAGCCTACAAAGTAGTCCAGGCTCCTTAGTACGTATTGCAATATATGGAAAGAGGGGATACAGATCAGAATAGGAGCAGCATTTTGAAGTAAGGAACTTTAGCAAGAGGATTTATTGATCTTATTGGACAAGCAAGTCCACAGGAAGTGCCATTGCCAGACTGTGGCTGAAGGACTTGTAGTTTACAGGGGATCAGTAAGAAAGTGCAGAGGCAAATTGCCAGTCTGCACTCAGTGACTGCTCAGGCTGATTCCAGAGCATTGCACCCTGAGCACTGCATCCTTGAAAGCCTGTTGAAAAACCATGAAGAATATAAAACATGGCCACAATAACCATGTGAAGACGGTAGGAAATCTATTACAGAGAAGGACTTGAAAAGAGTTCAGTTGGTTTGGGTTCCCAGGAGTGTATTTGAGACTTGTCTTGGCTGTGGTTTACAGTTTCACTTCTGGTGAGGCAACACTGGGCATTAAGTGGCTCTTCTGTCTAGCTGAAGGTGAGCCATCGACATAACCTACACAGGGACCATAAACAGGTATCAAAGCAGATACCTGTTTTAAACGATCAGAATAATTAAGCTGTGGAACAAATTCCTGTGAGATCTGGTGGATTCTTCATGTCGTGGTGTCTGCAGTGGAAGAGCACCTGCCTCTCTTGAGGACATACTTTTAGCCAAGAATAAATCAGTGACATTCTTTACTGTGCTACACAGGTCAGTCACAAACATTTCAAATGTATTTATCTGCAAAATATGCTGTGCACATAGGGTGTCCCAAAGGCATTTGGCCTCAAGACAGTTTGCCCTACTTAACTGCCTCAGTTTGTGTTAAGTGTGTTTTTTCGTCAAATGAATAGTTTTTTCATGTTACTGTTATTATACTTCATAGAGGTATCATTATGAGAAAGGCCAGGAGAGGTGGCTGCAGAATTACTTAAATCCAAGATGAAGTCCTAGACATCCTGGCTCAAAGGAATTTTGTAAACCTCTGTAGCATCCTTCATCTCATGTTTCCCAAATATTAACAAATTAACCTGAGCAAGACCCCGGAGAAAGGGGAAAGCATATTACAGAGGAGAAGACTGCAACCCAGCAGCTAGGCACTTTCAATCTGATTGCTCAGCAAGGCATGAAATAAGACAGGAATAGAACCCACAGGTCCTGGCTCCCAGCCCTGTGTTTTAATCATTAGGCTGTGTTTCCGGCTGCGAGCAGACCTCTCGGGCCAAAGGCATGAAAAAGAGACACTTACAGCTTTTCCATTTTCAAGCCAGGTGACAGTGGGGACTGGAATGCCTGTTGCCGCGCACCGCAATGTCACCACAGACCCAAAGGTGATATTATGGGATTCAGGAGCCTTCAGGATTCTGGCAAAAACTGTGGGAGAAGACAAAGATACTAGTTGAACAGATATTTAAAGCTGAGACTCAGACACTGTTCTGACACGGGGATGTTTCCTCTTCAACAGATCTTGAAATAGGCCGCAGTCCCAGCCCTACCAAAAATAACAAGTTTCCTGGTGAATAAGATGACGGTCTCAGGAGAGAGATACAAGAAGAAAGAAAACGAGCAGCGTGGTATATTCTGCATATTACCGATCAAAATTTTACCTCTGGAAATTTATATACAGTCTGAGTTTGATATTTCAGAAGAGGTACTGTGAAAAAAACAAGTGTGAACTCATCTAGAGGATGCAGATGAGGCAACTTGCAGTAGATGATAGATACAAGGCAAATTATGGTACTTGTTTTAAACCATCAGGTGGGGATCACCACTGCAGTCACATAAGGGTAAGGGTCAGATAAGCTCCTCAGTATGATCCCAATGATTAGCACTTACCGCAGAGAACTGTGTAAACCTTGACATTCTCCATGTCATAACAGCCTTGTCCTAAGGGAAGAGTGTCTAACTGGGGGGAATGGCCCGCAAGCATTTCCGGAACTGAGATTCTAGGGGGAAAGGCAGGTTTTTAAAATGTTTTTTCATCTCCAGTGTTCTTGTCTCTTTGTGGCAATATGATTCCTCAAGAATCTGGAGATAGAGGCCCTCCCTTCCCCAAGTAGATATTGATTTTTTGGTGACAAGAAAACTCTGAATTGCTTTTGTTGAAAATGTATTTCAATCCAGAAACACAACTCTGATGGCCTCCACAAGCTGTATTTCAGCTGCAGTACTTGGACCACATAGAGGAAAGCAGAGAAGAGAGATAGTTCCCACGTGGAACATTTGAGTTTTGACCCAGAATTTTTAATGGAGATGCCTGAATGTCTGTACAGAAGCAGGCTGAATAGCTCAGTGCCATTTTTTACTCCAATTTCTCATGCTTAGTGAGTAATGCTCTCTTTCTGCCTTTTGGACTGCACAGCAATGACTAAAAATCTCCATAAGAAATTTTAGTGGCAAACGGGAGATTCTCTTGGAGGTCTCAGTCAGGCTTTATATTTTCTTCACCACTTTTGCTATCTGTATGTTTCCCCTTACCAATTATCTGGCTATGTCATAGACTTTTGTGGCTCTGTTTGTTCCAAAACACCTCTTGGCATTGGCTGCTGCCTGCCCCATTTTCCAGATGGAGACCTCAAAAGCAGTGCAATTAGGAGACCAGCCAACAATCTCTTGAAAAACTGAGAATGTGCCCCTGCTATCTGGGATGTCTTCTATCAAAGCCAGAGAGAGCTTCTCCTGCAAAATTTCAGCTGGAATAAAAATACATATACTTTCCTTCTATCCAGTCCTGGCCTGGGAAAAGATTGAGCCTTGAATTAACAGAGAATCTAAAAATAGGTCTCATTTCGCTTGTGGATAGGTAACATTAGGAATATATTTCAGCACAGAAACATTTTCATCTTAGGAGCAGAGCCATTCAAGGGGATCCTGGGCAGAGTTTTTATGAAGATTAAATTTAATATCAGTGAAGTGAAAATGGTAGGAGGATGTGTATTATAGTCCATTTCTTAATTCCTCTGTGCTCCAAGCGGTCCCTCACTGTCAATGCTCAATGCTGCTTATTTAAAGTAGAAACTAAGCAGTATCAAGGTTGTCATACCCCACTGCCTCTCAGAGCGGCAGAAGGTACAAAGCTCCACCGCTAATAAGGAAAGCTGCAGTCATTGGCCAAGGCCTTTTCTGAAGAATAATAAGCAAAATGAAACCTTTGCCTGAGATTTCACTTCAGGCCATTAACACCAGATGGTTATGAATTCCACCCCAAGCACCATGGGCCAAGCTCATAATTATTTTATACCTCATTCGGAGAAATACTAAACTTTTGGGTCTGTCCTCTGGCAGCAGTTATGTGCACATGGCTCCCACTGAAGCCAGCACATTAATTTCCAAAGCCAGAATATGGCCCTTAATGCTTTTCTCATGCTGCTGTTACTTTTACAGTATGCCACTGGGACCGTACTTGCATGATGTTTCTGCTGCTCTGATCCTGTCCAGCTTATTTAATATTGAAGTAATGCATTAATAGCACCCCGTTAGCCGGTGCCAGATACAAGCATGTGTTCCATTCTCTGTACCTTCTACTTTCCCAAGATCTGCCAAAAGTTGTTAGCCAGGAAAAAAAAATAAAGGTACCCTTCAAAAATTATCATAGTTTTACAGATAGAGAACAGAGCCACCGTCAGATTAAGCGGCTTGCTAAGGCTCACACACAGTGCCTACGGAGGGCCAAAATCCTCCACCCAGCTCCTCTGGTTCCCTCAGATAGTGGTAGTCACTCCACTCGCTTTAGTAGCCCAAAGTGTGGCTGGCTCAAGTACTCATTTGCTAGCATATGGAAGCCAAGGTATTGGGCCATTCAAGCCTAAAACCCAAATATGGAGGGAAAAAACTTACTAACAGCTAAGCATTCGTGTCTTTCTTGTGTTACCTCCATTTCTTTTAAGGCAAATAAGACATCTCTGTTGTTAAAGACATGTGTTTTCCTCTGAACAGGTTTTCTACTCCATGTTGCTGATCAGTACCTCAACTCATAAGAAGGGCCTCTCCTTTCTGCCCCCAGTACCGTCTATGCAAAATACTGTCGGTGAGTAACCTGGTACACCTCCTAGTTAGGGCTGAGTTATCAGGGCCAACGCACTGAAAGTCAGCCTGCAGATAAATAAGCTGATCTCCAAAAGGGTAGAATACGCAAAGATCTTGCTACTTTCTGTGCCTCTGTGTGCATTCTCGGTACTTTTGAAAACGAAGTTACAAATTTAATATTCAAAGTATTTACATTTATGTGCTTTTTTGAAGTATTTAAAAGTTAAATACTTCAAAGTATTTAAGTATAAAAGTTAAAACTTAAAGTTTTCTTATTTAACTTAAGTACTTAACTCTAGACATTCTGAGCGGAATATTTTTTGTTCTTACACTATTCACTTCTTAAACCATAAATTCTTTGTGGGAAGGACTGGATCCCCTAGGGCCCCACAGACTTTAGAGTGCACCAGTTACTCATCACTGGGGCAAAGCGAGGGCAATAACACCAGGACAAGGTTGAGCTTATTGTTGGCTCCCATACCAGTGAGGAAACTTGCCTATCATGTAGTTAAACGGAGGAATCCAGTCTCCAAAACTGTTACTTACGCGTCTGACTTTTTTTCACCATATTACACAAGGAAGAAAAGAAAGAAAGAAAGAAAGAAAGAGAGAAAGAGAGAAAGAGAGAAAGAAAAAAAGAAAGGCAAAGAGAGAAAGAAAAGGCGATTCTGATGGTGCCAATACAAGCAACCAGGAGAAGAGGTGGGTGAAGGGCGGGAAGAGGAGGGAACAGGAAATGCCAATAAATGTTTATAAAATCAACGCTATTTGTTGGGTTTGGTGGTATGTTTTTGTTTTCATTTTGCCTCGGAGTGAAAATTCCCCACAATCTGATGATTTTTAACATCTCCGCTACTTGTCCTCCTTTTCCAGATACTTCTGAAAGTGGATTTTGCCAGGATCTTCACCTATTTAGCTACATAGGCTGTCACAAGGTTAACAACATTCACATTGAAACCCACAGGGTTTCAGCATGGGATTTACACAAAGATAGGCCAGAACGGAGGTAGAGAAGGTAGGAGATGAGGGCTTCATTTATTTATTTATTTAAGTGGAAAATAAAATAAAGTGCCTCACTCATAGGAGCTGGAAATGAAATCTGGCCAGTTAAAAACCAAGCCAGTATGTAAAGTTTCACTCCCGAGCCCCCTAATAAATGTCCTTTCTTTTACAACCTTGCTAAATGATGTACTGTACACTGCAGGGCTTGCTAGGAGGTATCTGTACTGAGGCCAGCTGCTCTCGTTTCTGAGAACTAGGTAACATCATCCAGTCCAAACAGTAGGGCTTTAATACAGTCACGAAATTTTTATACTATAAAAAGATTAAAGCAAGGTCCCCCCCCACACACACACACCCCCAGTTTGAACAGCTAACTCTTTCCAGGTGACTTTGCTTTTCCTTCGGCTTTGACTGAGCTGTGTTGTGTCTGGTTTTGGCCCTGACCCTGCAATCTGGGCAGATGCCGCCCCCCGACTGGGAAAAACCTGACTTTTGTTAATGTGGGTCGGACTGGGCCTCTTGCAC